TGGACACCTGATGCTAAACATTAGCTAATGTCCCTCATGCAATATTCTCTCTCTGTGCAATAACTGTCCTCAGCTCTCTACTCTGCAGATATTTTTATATCTAAGGAAAAATATTCCAGGACATTTTAACTTTTTTATTTTTTATGCTTTTTTGTATACTTTTTTTTTTTAATATATTGTCTGTTGTATTTTTCACTGCAACCATAGAATGTTATATACATGGACGCCTTATTGGACGCTGAGCAATGTGCCCACAGGGCGGCCATCTTGGGTCAGACAGCTGCTGTCAGAATGAAAGGAGGCTCCTTAGACCTCAGTTTAATCACATGATAAAATATCACAATTATGTCTCAACTCCTTAAAATAAATAAATTATGTTAGATTACACAGATTTATTCAGATTAAAAACTATTTAAACTGAACTTAAACTGGATGAAATACATGCAAAGTTATATATTTAGCAAAAAAAGATTAATATGATAAACACAATTTTTTTTTATTAATATATTATAAGATTATGTTTAACAAATATTATACATTTATATAGTATATTTATTATTATTCAGCATTTTAAAAGATTGCTCTTTGATGATTAGAATTATTATCTAATGAGGAAAATTTGTAGTAAAGAGATTTACAAAAGAGAGTTATTATTTTTTTAATTAATTTTATGTTAATTTTTGTCGTTGTTTAGACCTTTTCTTCGTAATGAACGGTACATTTATGTTGTGTCTAACTAAAGGCTGTTTGTCCTTAGAGGTTTATCTGAACTTCTTCCAAAACTCTTTTTCAAACAATTTTCTTTAATCATTATTTATGTGAACATTTGTTCTTTAATCAGTTATAATAAATATGAGGGGGGGGCGGTTAGTGGTTACAGCATAGAGCTTCTAACACTCTGGGTCTCTGATATGAGTGGCGCCTCATCTTTATATTTAATTGCAAAATATATAACTTTGCATTCATCTCATCCAGTTTGAATTCCGTTTAAATATTTTTTAATCTGAATAAATCTGTGTAATCTAACATAAAAGCAATTTTAGAATTAGTTTTGGTCTTTTAAGAGGTTCTAACATGTCAGATATTAAATGACCTCTGACTCGTCTTTACTGTCTGAACTGTGGTCTGACCCAAGATGGCCGCCCTATAGGCACGCCGGCCTCCAATTTTTTATATTTTTATATTTATTTATATATATATATATATATATATATATATATATATATATATA